CAGGAGTCGCTGGAGCAGCTTTAGCATCAGCAGTGAAACAGAGGAGGATAAAAGTTACCAGACTGGATCAGCAGAACCTCTTCTAGCCCTCAGCGATAGCAAATCTCTAATTGTGGCCGAAAACCACCATAAGCACGGGGCTGAGACTAAAGCCAGCCCAGTGAGACAGCCTCTGCCATCAAAACCAGTTCAAAAAAAAAGAAAATAATAATATAATAATATGCTTGGTCAGCCCTGAAGTGGTCAGGCAGTTGGACTAGACGATCATTGTAGATCCCTTCCAACTGAAATATTCTATTCTATTCTAAAAGAGATTCAAAGCACTTCTGTGCCAGAGAAGTTTTCAGAGGCTTCCCCATCACCCCCCAAAACTTATCAAGTTTTTAACTTTCACTTTAAAAAAATTTCCTCTTCAAAGTCTCAATACATTGGACCAAGCCTCGGTAAAAATTCATTTCTAAAACATTTTACCACGATCACACTTGAACTTTCATCCACCTGCTCAGAAGGGCAGGCGCCAACCCAGGCTCTTATCTCTGCAAACACCGGCACGCCTCGGGTCGCTTTTACAGTTTGTACATTCATTTTGTCCAAATACCCAAACCAGTACCTACAACACCAGCTTGCTCCTGACGCAGCAGAATTACCAGCACAAACAAAACCTAGGGCTGGAAAAACACGGCCGACCAGCAAAACCAGCAGCAAACTTCAAGAGGCAGTGGGACAATAAAGTAACGCTGGTGATTTAGACGATGGAGATAGCGAGTGTGGTCAAACGAGCTGCCTGTTTATTACATTAGGATGTGGGGAACCAGGAGATCCACCATGAAAGAAGCAGGCTTGTGGACATCCCAGCTACGCCTGATCTGTTACAGCTGGACCCCCAAAATATTGTCTGTCTGTCCAGAGCTCCCACTCCCATTGAGCCAATGGCTGCCCCGTGCTCACTCACCTTCTGCTCCTGGATCTGGGCTTTCACCACCTTGTACTCCGCGGAGGGAGGTTTCTGGTTGGAGATGAGCTCCTCGGTGTCCGCCAGCCAGCTCAGCAACGGCTCCAGCGCGTCCTGAAACTTCCCGCAGTGCAACAGGGCCTCTTGCAGCTGAGCAACTCTTTGGGCCACCTGCACCCCAAACACAACCCCATTGCATGGTCAGGCTGGTGACGCATCGACACCGGAGCCCCAGTTCCCTGTCATGACCCCCTTCTTCTACCAGACCCCAACGGGGCCAAGAGAAACCAGTTACAGCCCCTCCCCACGCTCCCACCTTCTTGTTGAGGGTGTTCCAGCGCGTGTTGATTTCTTCCATGTCATGTTCCAGCCCTTGGACGTCACAGTTTTTCCCGGCACTTTGGATGAGTCCTTGACCAACTCCATTGACCTGCTGTAGTTTTAGCTGGAGAGGATCCACTTGCTCCTTCTGGAACAGCTGGGGATGGGAAGGGTGGGAGAGAAAAGGTATTTATAACCCGTGAGCTGCTCTTACAGCCCCTCCATCATTCAATAGATACAACAGGCTTTCTTCTCTGGAGAAGATGCAGTAGCTACTTGCTACTTGATTTTATTAGAGTTGTGCAAGTTTGTCTAAACTCCTCCCTCGCCCTGACCCAGTAACAGAGATGTCGCAGGCATTCGCTGGTGTGGAGCGCAGCTCGGGATCTATACACATCCACCTCTGCTTTGAAATGGGTAAATCCCCTTTTTCCAAGCACCAGAGCGAGGTGGAGAGAGCAAATCGGGGAAGAAATGAGAGCATCAGCTCTGGTCAGCCATCGGATTGGGAAATAATGCTCCTGGGGAAAAACCCGAAGCAATTCTCACAGTGATGCTATTGAGAACAGAGACCTGACGTCACACGAGTTTTGTTAACCGCGAAATTACAGACACCGAGAAGCTAGCTGTATTTCGACAGACAAAGGCAATAGGCAATTAATGTGCTAGTCGTTTACCGCACCGCGTATTTGGCATGGTCCTGCCTGGGAATCCTGTGGGGAAAAGCTTTTTAAACCAAAAAAGATTTGATAGGGAAGGGGGAGGAGAGCGAATGAAGCTCCCCATTGTAAAGAGAGGCAGCAGGGAAAATCCTGTTTCCGCGAAGGAGATAAGTGCTCTTTATCAGAGCTGTGGATCTGCTGGAACCACCCGCTGACGCTGCCGCCCATGCACCGTCCCTCGCCGGTCCCTCTCCGGCACCGCTGGGGCGGCCGCACAGCCCGGTCCCAAGGGACGAGCCTGCTGCTTCCCCACAGCGAACAGCACAAGCCCCAAAAAAAAAGGGAGCGGCGTCCTTCATCGCTTACTCTGGCCCCTTGGACCACGAGCCCTTCCAGAGCACAGGTCACCCCGCACCCAGCGCTGGACAGGATCAGAGCCCTTGGCCCTGTTGCAACATTTTCTCTTTGGAAAGCGGAAGGGATCGCAGCCAGCCGCCTGCTTTCCCAAGCGTGCCTCCTCCTCACGTGCCCGAAAATATACGGACATTGATGGCATTGAAAAAGTCCCACTCGGATGCAAGATCTCTCCTAGCAGAGCAGCGGCTCGTGGATGGCACAGCTCTCCGGACCCAGCAATCGCTTTGCCTCCGAAGAAACACAAGGCAGGCAAAAAACCCCAAACACGCAAAAAACCCCAAACACACACACAAAAAAGTTCCCAGCCTGAGCAAAAAGGGCTGCCTTGACTTTCTTTGCCCCATTTTCAAAGAAAAAGCTATTCCTTCCCGTCGGAGCTCAGCTGCTCGAGGGCCGGGAGGTATCACTGCAGGACACAAAGCGAAGGGTGTGCTGGCAGACATCGTCCAGAGCTGTTTGCTCAGGGAGAATTATGCCACGGTTATAAGAAATAAATGGTGACATGAAATCACCGATTCCCCGGCTGCTTCTCCTGTTACTGTTTATATATGGAGCTGGCTGCTAGAGCAGCCAAACCCACAAAAGGACCAGGCTGATAAGTCTGGCATGCCGGGCTGGGTCCGAGCCCTCCGCACGCTGCAAAAACAAAGTCCAGGGCTTCAAAGCAGCCGGGCAGGGAGGGAGCCCCGCAGAAAGCCCGGCCGTGAGACCACGGGTACCTGCAACACATGAATCCGTACAGTCCGAGAGCGTGACGCTGCGATCGTTACAAAGATAATCACGCTAATGGCCTGAGGAGTGAGCATGTCAAACACACTTGTTTTTCTTTGCTCATGAAAGGTTCCAGCGATTTAGTTCATTAACCTCACTGTGACTCAGCTTTGAAACAAATATTTAACGTACACCCTTTGCCGGGCAGGGAAAGGCGCAGAGCGAGGTGTCCTGCCCAGGCGAAGCGGCTGGACAGACATCTTGGCGAGCAGAAGGACATCTGCTCCACCACACCTCTTCCTCGCTCCCAGAAATGCTTCCCAAAGCATCCCCTCGCTTTCTGCTTCCCTCATCTCCCGGCCGGCCGCACTCCTTAACCCCACCGCTGCCGAACGCAGAGCCCGGCCCTGTGGTGGGAAGAACCGGCAGCACCCAGGCATCGCCCCGGTGCAGACCCGGAGCTGCCAACGGCTTCAACAACGTTTGAGCAAGGGGAAGATTCACGGGGTTAAAAATCAGAGGCGCTGCACGTAAAATAAGGGTCCCACCAGCGAGGACACGCTGACACCAAAGCAGTGAATTTCAGACAACAGACGTACAACGGCAAGAACCCGACGGCTCTTCTTCCTCGCTAAGGTCCACACCGGGTGCCCCAGCCCGTGCTCACATGGACCCCCCCATGCGAAAGCATCTCTCCAAGCCCTTCCACGTGCATTTCTCAAACGGGTAGCGCAGCCAAAGGATGAGTAATTGCTACCGAATAGGGATTTTCGGCGCTGCCTAACTTCTGATGTCTCCTTAGCGATATTTCTCCTAATCCAGATGGCAGTAAATCAGCGCTCGGCTGTGGGAACTCCACCACCGAGGTCTCTCCAGGCGAAAGCCGCTAGCACAGCACGGCAAAGCAAATCCCCGAACGCCAGAGAGAATTTGAGCCCCTTCCTGCGCGCGTTCAGAGCCGCAGCACCTTATTGCTCGCTTAAAAAGCTACAGGAAGCGATGACCGCACAGGACAGGAATTATTTGCAC